AACTTTGTAGTCAGTAAGTAAGTTTCGTTAAATTAAATATTTAAAACACGCATGACAACAGCGCGTCGGTCATTCATCACTCTTATCGAACCGGCAATCGATCGCAAACGGTAACAGTGGTTAGTTATTGTTCGCGTACGTCGTCGTGTTTATTTACGATGTTCTCGAATCAAGAGTTCGCCGACGTGTTGCTAGTTTACGGTGAGGCTCATCAGAATTCAAATATTGCAGCTCAAATTGATCGCGATAGATTTCGCCAACGGGTACACCCCGATTTACACTGCGTGCCGTCAGATTTTATTTTACTTTAAAGTCGCTTTTCTCTAGAAAAATGCCGTTTTGACCTCTATGTTATATGAAACTTTTTGCTTCTTTTCACCCATTTAAATAATGACTATCATAACGTTTACACCCTGTATATCTGCATCATACAAGTCCGCGTTTCTCATTTGTGTCGGTTTGTTGTTTATCAATGCGTCATAAGGACTGAGTCAATCTACTTGACGAAATATTCAGAAAACCATCATAGACACAAGTTGAAAGTTAGGCGAAATGTACATTTAAGGATCATAAAGTTCTGAAAAATATATGTGTAAATGTGAAAATATTGCTAACATATAAGATTCGATAGAAGTTTTAAAATTAATGCATAAAGTCTTTATAAACATGGGTCGAAAAATGCGTGGCTTCCGAAATACAGGGTGTTTAAATTTACTTTCTATATGCTAATAGACAGAATGAGGAATGCATGTGATGAAATAAGGCCTTATTTGAATAATGCTATACCACGTTCGATCATTCGTAAATGTGAATTGTGTATTGAACAACTGGGTTTACATTTGTTAAAAATAATATTGGAAAATTAAACAAATTAATATTCTGTTTTTTGTGTTTATTTGGATTAGGAATTATTGCTGTGTTTAAAAACACAATCTAAACGATCATGTTAATTACTTGTAATGCCCAAATCGAAAATGTAAAAAAAATATTATTTTCCCATAAATAATTAAAAATGCATCGAACCTTAAAAATCGAAATATCTCAAATACGGCTAACTATAATGAAACTCACAGGAGAGCTTTTTTAAGTTGAAAAGTGCGAAGAATCAGTTTTTTTATTGGAAAACCAAAAAATTGCACTAAGAAAAAATTTACTACAGGTACAGTAGAGAGCGCCCTCTAGCGGCTACAGTAAAACTATGCCCATGGTTCGTTTTGTCGTACCAAAAAACCCTTGTATACCAATTTTTACTGTTATACATCAAATATTGTTCGAAATATTTAAAAAAAACTATTTTAGAAAGTAAATTTAAACACCCTGTATATCGGAAGCCACGCATTTTTCGACCCATGTTTATATAGACTTTATGCATTAATTTTAAAAGTTCTATCGAATCTTAAAGTTGTGCAACAATAAACTGAAACACCCTATAAATATTTATTATGTAGCGGTGTCAGTGACGACACCACCGCAAAGCAGTTGGAGTTTAAAAAGTTTTTCTAAAATTTATCATCTCTGTCTACGGTAGGATCCTCAACTGTTTGTCTCAAGAACGATACCTCGATAAACTTGATCTAAATTTTTATTTATCATAGAATTTTTGTTAGGTCAAAACTGGGCTAAAAGGATTGATGCGAAAAGTAAATAGTTCCGTAGCGTTTCTGGCTGTTTTATCTCATGCAGCTTGACGTATAATACTATAAAATACTTTGGTTTATGCAGCACAAGTGGGCTTGTGGAATATCGAATAATTTACAAATAGGCGAGACTGTTGAGATTATCATATATAAAGCATGCATGTAATGTCTGTTTGCTTTCATAGTACATTTCGTATTTTGCATAATAGATCGGATCTCTCGAATATAGGCTAAGCGATATTTGCTAGCAATTTCATAGAGCATAGCCCGAAATCGACGATGTACTAAAAATCGTACAGATGGATTTCACAGCGGAATTTTATTCTATTCTACTCTTTGAACAGGTACTAAACTTTCACGGTCAAGTTCAAGTTAATGACTACACAAGGATCACAAACTTTTCACGAATTAAGACCGATTTAATAATAGCCAATGAACAGAATTTGAGTATTAAGGTTTTACATACTCCAAAAATAAGCGACCATTCGTGGAATATTTTTCGAGGTGTAAAATATGTTTAATGATAGAGAATCAAGATAAATCACAATTATTGATTGACAAGCCAATATCACTGAAATTTTTAATGGTAGTAGAAGAATGGAGACGAAATATGGATAAACAAAAGTTTACAGTAACATTGTTCTTAGATTTCAAGAGAGGATTTGAGACTATTGGTAGCGAGAAATTGTTAACGAAATTGCATTGCTATGGATTTCAAGGTTCATTATTCAACTTATTACAAAATTATTTAATGAATAGAAGTCATAGAACTAAAATTGGCAATACATTATCAAACATTAAAAAAATTTCGGTGGTGTGCCGCAGGGTAGCAAATTAGGTCCTTACTATCTATTTTATATGTTAACGATATTCCTGATATTTTACAACACGGCAAAATTCAACTATTTGCTGATGCTACATCAATAAAGACATTGAAACTGCAATAGAGCTGTTAAATAACGATATGAAGATCGTAATAAATTGGTTAAAAGTAAATAAACTTAAACTACAAACAAAACAAAATATATAATAAAAGGAAAATCTGTAGATCAAAATTCGATAAATCTTACAATTAATCACGGAAAAATTGTGTCAATCGAATCATTTAAATATTCGGGCATATACGTAGACAGTAAATTGGAATTTGAAGGGCACTGCGAATATATTATTTCAAAAATATCCAAGAAAATAAATTACTTTCACAGAATTTCGTATACCTAAGCGTTTCTTCTAAAAAAAAATGTGTACAACACCATCATTCTTCATTGTTCGATTATTTTGTTCACTGGAAATGAAACTGTATTTTCAAAATTACAAATATTTCAAAATAAAGCTATGACAATCATCTTAAATAAAAATAAATAGACTAGAATAAATTTTATGCTGAAAGAACTACAATGGTTAAATATCAAAAATTTCATAGCCTACTTGGTTTTCATTTTCATATTCAAGTTAAAATATCATCTACGAAATCACTTAGAAAATTTTATTGTATTGAACAATGAGTGCCACAATTATTCTACTAGAGGAAGTATAGACTTTCAGTCAGTATTTCAAAAGAGATTGTACGAATTTAATAAATTAAGTTATGATATCAAGATGTGTATCAGTTTGAAAATGTTCAAAGGGAAATTGAAAAAATATCTCATGGAAACCCAGAATTCATATTAGTGAAATTTTGTATAAAAAGATGTAGTCTTGAAGACATAATATATTTTGTGATATACTGTGTAATATGGATATTATGGACATTGTAGCATTAATTCTAAATAAATCTGAAACAAACTCTTCTTTATTAAAATCGTCAGAGATGGAATAATCGCTTTCAAAAACTTAAACTAGGAGGTATTGCCATACGTTATCGACAGAAATAAAACTACATACGATTTAATGTTCGACTATATTTGCTAATTACTTTCTCAAACATTGCTGTACTCCGCATTTACGATTTACAAATAATGTAATACATGCATATCAGCACCAGAAACACATTTTTACCTATGCCAAAACACGGAAGAATCAGAAAGAATTAATGAACATCGCCTCTTTCAGAAATATCATTGTACTGCTGTAAATCTCATTTTGATTTTATGATAATATTATGTCCGCCTTTGGAGGATTAGTGGAATCGATACTCATAAAACCTTCTTTCATTTTATTTATTGTGTATCTGTAATATTGTATATACAGGGTGACTTCAAAGTTGAGTCATTTATTTTAACAGTGAGTAGATCTGATCAAAAGAAATGTTTTTTTCCTTTACCATTTTTCTGGTGAAATTAAAGTAACAAAGTTATAGCCCTTTGGAAGTTTGAGTACCGCCCTGTCTCAATAATAATATTATGTGCTCGTGTTTGGCGACAACGGATATAATTCGCCTTATCGGTTCATCGCATCGGAAACAAAAAAGCGAAAGAATTTGGAACGATGTTTTTACAATTATTTTATTCAGTTGTATACGTAAACAGTCAGTGTCAGTCGGTAACGCGTGAGTGAATAGTGGTGTCTGTTGCGTGGCTCAAACGAAATCAAAAATGGCACATGTTTACGAAAATGCTGAACTTGTGGACATGATTCTTATTTACGGGGGGGGGGGGGGAGTCGGTTTCCCAATCGAGTGCAACCAACCCCTCGTGCCTTTGTTAATGTAGTACAAAGGGCTCGTGACTTAAGACCTCACAGGGGAGGGAATATACCGGTGCTCCAAGACCACACGATCAAATACAGGTCCGCACTGAAATACTTGTCGGGAGGACACTTTATAAAACAAGGTAACATTTTTTTTTTCATTTTTTTTTTATTTTTACACACATATTTTGGTTTATCTTCCTTCTACAATCATTATCTGAAAATTAATGACTCAACTTCAGAGTATATACGTATAATGTATTGTACGAGGGTGGTCTCAAAAATAGAGTTTCCGCATTTTTTTTCAACCACAAGGAATTTTTTATTTGAAAAAACGAATATACCATTGGAAACGTTAATCTTTAGGCTACTTTTCTACATAGCCGCCATTTTTTCTACGCATTATTTTAGATGAGGAATCCAAACAAATCGTTCGATTCAGTCCTTCGTTTGTCGCGAGACATCTTCGAAACAGCCCTCGTATATACACCTTAATCTAAATCGGGTTAACAAAGTTTCTTTAAGCTTCTGCCTGCACGGCTGCTTCGTTGCAAAAAAAATGACAAAGTTTATGCGAAAGGAACGTGGCAGTTATCCGGTCTTCAGTCTGATACGTGACTAGACGAAGTCGCACCTGGAACAACACACACTCCGCCACCCAGTGGCGTCAGGACGAGCGGAGGTGCCACCGACGCCGAAATTACCGTCCCGACGCCGTCGTCTATAGTCAGTTTCCACGGCCACCTGGACGACGCGCACCGCCGACAATCGCGAGATTCAACTGTTTTTCGAGTTAGTAGCGCGTTGATTCGCGATTGGCTATGGCATGACACTTTCGCGATTGTCAGTTGTTTTCGGGGTGCCTCTTTCGACGGAGAAAACAAAAGTGTTCGCAAGACATCACGCGAGACGTTTGTTTTTCGTTGAGTTTTATTCGCGGGAAGCAACAGGCGATACAACGCCGTTGGACGCGATCGATTGATTTTGAACTGTTTTACGCTGTTTCGCAGGAAGCAGCGTTCGTTTTCAACTGTTTTCGAGTGGTTTTATTCGCAAAAAGCAAGAGGTGGCAGAGTTCGTTTTCAATTGTTTTTGAGGTGTTTACATCATGTGAAGCAACAAGTGATACGAAGACACGTGCATGATAAAGTTGTTTTTCGATTGGTTTCGGTTCGGTTGGAAGCAAAAAGTGATACAAAAGCATCCCAAATCATGATGCGATTTTGCAACAGTTTTTAGCGTGTTTTTCTCGCTAGGTGCAGCAAGTAATGCTACCGCTTATTTTTCGGTTGTGATCAACGAATTCGTATAGATTTTGCGTAGTTTCGAGGTCTGTAAATTAAGTAATGATACTGTTTTTTTAATGTTTTCTACTCTCCCAAAATGAGTTTCATTGAGGTGATTTTTCAACTTCGGGAGGAGAAAAAATTCACAAGGACCCAAGTCGGGCGAATGAGGAGACTGAGGAGCTAGAGGAATGTTTTTACTGATCAGAAATTTATTGCAACATCCAGTTGTTGTTTATGTTTGGTCCCACACACTACTTTTTTCGGAGCTTTTCAAGAATATCCCGATAAAAGTGTTGATTGACCGTTTGGCCTTGAGGTATACACTCTGTGGGCTGATATCGAAAAAACAATCAGCATGCATTTAACCATCGACTTCTTCTGCATTACTTTTTTTGGCCTTGAAGTGTGTCGCTCCTTGCTCTGGTCGTACTCAAACACCCAAGACTTTTCACCAGTAATGACGCGTTCCAGAAAATGGGAGTCGTTTTCAATCGAATCCAAAAGGTGCCTTGACTTTTTAACGTTATTTTATGATAAATAATTAAAAATGCATCGAACCTTAAAAATCGAAATATCTCAAAAACGGCTAACTATAACGAAAACTCACAGGAGAGCTTTTTTATGTTGAAAGAATCAGTTTTTTTTTATTCAAAAGCAAAAAATTGCTCTAAGAAAAAAATTTAGGTCATTTTAATACACTGCAGGTATAGTAGAGAGCGCCCTCTAGCGTCTACAGTAAAACTATGCCCATGGTTCGTTTTGTCGTACCAAAAAACCCTTGTATACCAATTTTCACTGTTATACATCAAATATTGTTCGAAATATTTAAAAAAAAACTATTTTAGAAAGTAAATTTAAACACCCTGTATTTCGGAAGCCACGCATTTTTCGACCCATGTTTATATAGACTTTATGCATTAATTTTAAAAGTTCTATCGAATCTAAAAGTTATGCAACAATAAACTGAAACACCCTGTATATTCTTCACTTCGTCTATGCAATACATAGGAAATAGTTTGGTTGCAATCAAGTAGAATCACGTAACAGAATAGTTGTATAGTTGACAAACACTGAATCTTGCACTGACGCAAATGTCCTATAGCGGCTGCAAGAGGCTTACACTTTTGTTTGTAACTGTTACCTGCAGCCCTTATACAACCTCTTAAACGACTGAAGTGTCCTATTCCGCTTGTATAGCTGTTCTAAGAGGGTTTTGCTAATGTTATTCAGTATACAATACTGTTTAAGGAATACTGTATAATCATTCTTGCAGTGATAATTGTTAGTTGGGAAATGACTCGATCGAGTTCAAACTTGTACTGAAGGCGGATCGCATGTTCCTCTGTCCCCCCTCCAAGCGCGGCGCTTCCAGTGTTGCCGAATCGAACGCTACGTTGCCGGTCTCATTGCTTAATTCACAGACCTCGTACTTTTGACTCATTTGTCTATCAATGCGACTGTTTCGTTGTTCAATTGTTTTTGGCTTTGGTATTTATATAATAGTGCTTCTAAATAATTACTTTACAATATGACTGCTAAGTTTCCGAAATTAACAAAATTAACGAAGCGCACTTTAACTGGGGCGAGCACCAATCAACACATTTCTAAACTAAACTAGTATGTATAAACGTATAAAAGGGTGATTCAGTGAGGAATGCAGCAGCGATCGCTTTTTATTTTTATTTTTCTAAAATACGAAACTTAAAAGTGTAATTTCCCAATCTTTTTATGTTGTTAACAGTATAAAGGCTTAAATCTGACTGCCTGTAAAATGTGTTGAGAACAATAAAGTGAACTCTAGGTATTCTAGGAAACCAGTCGCAGAAAACTAGCATTTTATCACAATGTGATCAAAAGGTGATCGAGAGAAAGTATTGTTGCGTCTACAAGCAGAGATAACCTCTAGGTCTCTCGTCAGAGAGAGAGTTTCCTCTCCAGCTCAATTCCTGCATTTATAGTGCTCTCATCAGCGAAGCTATGCATCACATTGATCGTACAAGAAATACATATGTTATGGAAGCCATGTAATCTCGGTAGACGGTTGTATATACGGTTTGATATTCATAGAATATCCAACGCCCTTTCTATGAGAAAACTCGAATAAATCAAACTGAAAAAGCTGTCTCGCAATATGCGCGTTGCGATGTTTTCCAACAACCCCGTGTGCGATGGAACTACAAAGCTTCTGCCGTTCAGTCTCCGTCGCGGGTCATAAACACGACTCATTTTTCCTGCGAGTTTCATACATTCAAACTGTCCGATAGATATATGAACTTGGCACCGGAGTGAATAGCAAACGAAGCGTGAGCAGTTTTAGTACTTTTTTACCTTTTACAAGTTTGTACGCGGATCACTACTTGATTTAGTGACTTCTTCTGACATATCTATTTGAACGTTAATAGGGAAACCATGTATGGATTTAAAAACCTAATTTTAAACAGCGCTTTATATTTCTCAGATATTTATCATCAAAAGAACATTATTTACAAAATTTTCTTTTCAAAGTTTTCCTTTTACAGTCATTATATACCTGTCTGTGTTCTTGTATGGAACGTAATAAAAGTTATTTTTGTTCCTATTATACTAAGTGACATATAAATCCACCCAGTTTAAATGGTTTTATTTTAATAAAATTTTGTATAAGTACTTAATGAAGCATAATAAGTAAATGATGAAAATTTCAAAATGATTGCACTGCTTTAAAGCCCTTTGACCTTTAATAATGTGTGGATGCACCCTGATGTGCTACGCATTCTCCAACGCGCCTAGGCATGCTTCTGATCAGGTGGTCAATGTCCTCCTGTGGTATCTCATTCCAGGCAACCACCAACTCCTCTCGAAGTGCTTCTAGAGTCTGAGGAGGACGTTGCAAATTGAGCAATCTCCTACCCATCATATCCCACACGTGCTCAATTGGGGATAAGTCGGGAGATCTTGGTGGCCATGGTAACAATGTGACATCATTATGTTGAAAGAAGTCTATTGTGACTCTTACAACATGTGGTCGGGCATTATCTTGTTGGAAAGTTGGATCTGCCAGGGTGTCAAGATAGGGTAAAAGATAGGGTTCTAGAACTTCGTGGATATAACGCTGCGCGTTCATGTTACCTCTGATGAAGATTAAAGGTGACCTGGAACCATAAGCTATAGCACGCCAAACCATAACTCCAACAGTGTGATGAACATGTCTTTCAACACAAAACTGTGGATTCCTCCTTTCACCACGTCTCCTTCTAACCCTGGCACGACCATCGTGCATGCCTAAACAAAATCTAGACTCGTCACTAAAGACAATACTGTTCCATTCCTGATCCCAGAGTGACCGTTGTCTGCACCACTCAAGGCGATTACGTCGGTGTTCTCGAGTTAAAAGGAGGACACAGTGTGGCCCGTATGAAAACAAGCCAAAACTTCTCATTCGTCGGTAAACACTTCGCATGCCAATAGGTCTTCCGTGTTCTGCAAACCATTCATTTGCAATGGACCTGGTAGTGGAGAAACGGTCCCTTAAGGCCAATAATCTTAGGCGGCGATCTTCACGGTCTGTTGTTCTATGGCGGCGTCCAGTGCCCCTTGCTCTTTGCGTACGGCCATGTTTGACAACACCTAACCACAGTGTCTACACTTCTTTGCACTCTAACTGCAATTGCCCGAAAAGAAAGTCCAGCTTCCCGAAGTCCCACTATACGGCCCCTATCAAACTCACTAAGTTGACGAAATCGTACAGGTCTCCGTACTCTAGGCATCGTAACCGATCGTAAAGGATGTCAAGAACCAAAATCCGCCAACGTTGATTCTTTACTGCGGCTGAAATATTCATTTTTTCACTTGTTATTTACAGTAAGATAAATACATTCACCAACTTTTATTAAAATAAAACCATTTAAACTGGGTGTTGGGATTTATATGTCACTTAGTATATTTTTGTATTTTTGGCTAAATAACTCGACGGCAACGGTGACGAACCCATGCATTTTCAAATAAATATACAATCGACCTACTCAAAATGATTCCTATTTTAGATTGTAGAGTTCCAATATTCCTAATTTTGATCTGGTTTGTTTTTTGAAAAACTTGAACTCCCTAGCAGTCACCCGACTTGATTCTAAAAGTATACTGACATTTTACAATTAATGTCATAGTGAGTTACTCCTATCCCCAACACATTTTTCCTCCTTTAATGTGAATGTTTTGTTGAGCCGGTCTCATCGACATTTGATGTCTCAATAGTATGTAATTTTGCGACGAGTGCCCTTATTGACCTAATAACCACCGTATTTTCTAAAATGAATTTATTTTGCGAAAACGCGTTATATTTTTTCGATTCTGTTGTCACCAAACCTTTGTTAATCAAAATTGACACCTATTGTGTCAAGAACTTGATTTCAGGATTTACAAAAAACTTATAATAAAGTCACTTGGCTTAGGTATCTTATTGCTCCCAGCCATTCATTATTGTCCTCAACTTCTTAGGTGACAAATTTTGCTGAGATCAATGATTCGACAAGGCACGTTCATATTCTGTTTACATCGCTAACAGCGACATCGACAAAAATACATGGGAATACCATGCTCCAGCATCTGGAATTTGGAACTCAATTTTTACGCCTTCTGGGGGAAAGTTTTTGGGCCTAGGGGTAAACTTTGGGGAGCATGGATATTTTTACGAAAACGCGTTATATATCAAAATTGACACCCATTGTAACAAGGAACGTGATTTCAGGACTTATATAAAACTACTAAAGTCACCTTATTAATCCCAGCCCTTCATTGTTGTCACCAAGTTTTTTTTTATGAGTTCAATGATTCAGCAACGCAAGATGACTTTCATGTTCAATTTACAAGTTAATTTAAATTCATTTTACACTATTGTTGCTACTGTTATCAATGTAATTGCAGCTCCTGATGATGATGGCAAAGACCATTGAAAGCTAGAGAGAATATAGAAAGTATAAGGAGTCCTCCTTGCTTAAATTTTGTCGAAGTACCCAACAAAAGGCGGAAGCTTTAATTTTTCACCTAACTGGTCTAGGACGACAATAACCACGTCTCAATATATATATATATATAGGGTGACTTCGAAGTTGAGTCATTTATTTTAATAGTGAGTAGATCTTATCAAAATAAATGTTTTTTTCCTTTACCATTTTTCTGGTAAAATTAAAGTAACAAAGTTATAGCCCTTTGGAAGTTTGAGTACCGCCCTGTCTCAATAATAATATTATGTGCTCGTGTTTGGCGACAACGGATATAATCCGCCGTATCGGTTCATCGCGTCAGAAACAAACAAGCGAAAGAATTTGGAACGATGTTTTTACAATTATTTTATTCATTTGTATACAGTCAGTGTCAGTGAATAGTGTGTTGCGTGGCTCAAACGAAATAAAAAATGGCACATGTTTATGCGGATCGGTTTCCCAATCGAGTGCAACCAACCCCTCGCGCCTTTGTTAATGTAGTACAACGGGCTCGTGAATCAGGTGACTTAAGACCTCACAGGGGACCTCACGATCAAATACAGATCCGCACTGAAATACTTGTCGGGAGGATACTTTATAAAACAAGGTAAACATTTTTTTTTATTTTTTTTTTTATTTTTACACACATATTTTGGTTTATCTTCCTTCTACAATCATTATCTGAAAATTAATGACTCAACTTCAAAGTCACCCTGTATATATATATATAACTTGAGACGTGGTCATTGTCGTCTAGACCAGTTAGGTGGTCTAGACGACAATATATATATATTCTTGCTTCTGCAAATATACGGCAGTTCGTGAGCTGTTCGAAGTGAAGTACAGATGAAACCTAACTTCAATCCTACAGGGTGTCTCCAGAAAGACCTTCCCACTTTTATTTCTCATTGATGATATAAGAAGGAATTATAGAAACCTTAATACCGTTGGCACAGGATTCATACCTATAATACAACTATTCCGAGCTCAATATGAGATATGACGTAAAATGTGATGTTCACGACATATTTTCAGGTAAAGATCTATAAATCAATCGTAAAAATGTCTCGTCAAATATCTGTCGCAAAGGAATGCAGCCGGAGAGCAAAGTACGAAATATTTCAAATGTCGCAGAACGAAACGTACGATTTGGCGCCGATATTCTGAAAGTTTGTACGGAAAAACCTGAAATACTTTGCTGATTTATTGTCGAGGAAGGCTGAACACATTAAAAATAATTGTTATTGTCAGTCTCTAAATATTATATTTTGACGGTAAGGAAATTATGTTATTATTAGATACGTCGTTTCCATTTCAGACATATGATTTGCAACCAATCGTATGCGGCGCCGTCTCGTCCTTGCTGGGAATCATCAGTACGATACTCACATATTTGAGCTGAAAATAATCAGCCATATACTGTATTCTGGTGTCCAAACAGATACAACATATATGAGGCAGTTGCAGAAAAAAAATTACAAATAGAGTCAGGTTCTGGATCTTTTTAACGTTTCTAATGCCTACTTTAATCTCCAGATAAAATACGTTAATAATGACTAAACTCTCGAAACATTCTGTGTTTGCATCAAAATAAAATGAATGATCTGCCCATCTGGTAGAGATAGTAACATCAATGTTTTATAAACATGATCTTGTTTCAGTGCGTCTAATATTATCTGGAATGTTAATGGATTTTTTTCGGTAATTTAGCAGTCATAAATGCTCTTACGAAAAAATTTGAAGCCAGAGCAATGTTTCTATTTATGTGTTTTCTTAAAGCTCTTCTTTTGAAACATTTTGCCTGTAACTGCCTGAATTCTGTCTAGATTTCGGATACGTAAATTTAATAAAGTTTAAATATGCATAATCATAAATTAGAACAATCAAAGAGCTTTTGTTTCAAGTTGGAGACGTTATTGATGCCATCTGTTTGTCCCTAAAAGTGATGCGAAAACCGGATCGACGGGAAACAGGGCAGTGTTAAACGGGTGGTTTTTGTGCACGGTGGTGAACTCTAGGGTGGGATCTTTTCAACCACAAATTTGGATTCAGCATCGAAAAATACATGGGAACACTATGCTTTTGCATCTGGCATCCAGAATTCAATTTTCACTTCTCCTTCTTGGGCCCAGGGGTGACTTTTTGGGGAGTATGGATATTTTTAACCGTAAATTCCGATTCAATGCTGAAAAATACGTAGGAATGCCATGCTCCAGCATCTGGCATCCGAAACTCAATTTTCACGCCTCCTAGGGGTCGTTGTTGGGCCCAGGGGTGATTTTTATGGGAGTATGGATATTTTTGATCATAAATTCCGACTCAACATTGAAAAATACATGGATATACCATGCTCCAGCATATGGCATCCAAATACTCAATGTTCGCGCCTCCTAGGGGTATTTTTGGATCTAGGGGTAAAGTTCAGGGGGCGTATGGATGTATTCAACCACAAATTCTAATTCAACGTTGAAAATTACATGGCAATACCATGCTCCAGCAACTGACATCCGAAAACTCAATGTTCACGCTTCCTAGGGGTATTCTTTTGGCCCAGGGGTAAACTTTGGGGGGCATGGATATTTTTAACCGTAAATTCCGACTCAATGCCGAAAAATACATAGGAATACCATGCATCTGGCATCCGAAACCCAATTTTCACGCCTCCTAGGGGTCGTTTCTGGGCCCAGGGGTGACTTTTATGGGAGTATGGATATTTTTAATCATAAATTCCGACTCAACATTGAAAAATACATGAATATACCATGCTCCAGCATATGGCATCCAAAAACTCAATGTTCACGCCTCCTAGGGGTAGTTTTGGATCTAGGGGTAAAGTTCAGGGGACCCTTATGGATGTATTCAACCACAAATTCCAATTCAACGTTGAAAAATACTTGGGAATACCATGCTCCGAAACTCAATTTTCACGCTTCCTAGGGGTATTCTTTGGGCCCAGGGGTAAACTTTGGGGAGCATGGATATTTTTAACCGTAAATTCCAATTCAATGCTGAAAAATACATAGGAATGCCATGCTCTAGCATCTGGCATCCGAAACTCAATTTTCACTCCTCCTAGGGGTCGTTTTTGGGCCCAGGGGTGACTTTTATGGGAGTATGGATATTTTTAATCATAAATTCCGACTCAACATTGAAAAATACATGGATATACCATGCTCCAGCATATGGCATCCAAAAACTCAATGTTCACGCCTCCTAGGGGTAGTTTTGGATCTAGGGGTAAAGTTCAGGGGGCGTATGGATGTATTCAACCACAAATTCTAATTCAACGTTGAAAATTACATGGCAATACCATGCTCCAGCAACTGACATCCGAAAACTCAATGTTCACGCTTCCTAGGGGTATTCTTTGGGCCCAGGGGTAAACTTTGGGGAGCATGGATATTTTCAACTGCAAATTCCGATTCATCGTTGAAAAATACAAGGGAATAACATGATCCAGCATCTGGCAATTTGCACGCTTCCTAGGGGTATTCTTTGGGCCCAGGGGTAAACTTTGGGAAGCATGGATATTTTCAACTACAAATTCCGATTCATCGTTGAAAAATACAAGGGAATAACAAGATCCAGCATCTGGCATCCAGAACTCAATTTGCACACTTTCTAGGAGCATTCTTTGGGCCCAGGGGTAAACTTTGGGGAGCATGGATATTTTCAACTACAAATTCCGATTCATCTCTGAAAAATACAAGGGAATAACATGATCCAGCATCTGGCATCCAAAACTCAATTTGCACACTTTCTAGGAGCATTTTCTGGGCTCAGGGGTAAACTTTGGGGAGCATGGATATTTTCAACTACAAATTCCGATTCATCGTTGAAAAATACAAGGGAATAACATGATCCAGCATCTGGCATCCAAAACTCAATTTGCACACCTTCTAGGGGTATTCTTTGGGCCCAGGGGTAAACTTTGGGAAGCATGGATATTTTCAACTAAAATTCCGATTCGTCGTTGAAAAATACAAGGGAATAACATGATCCAGCATCTGACATCCAAAACTCAATTTGCACACTTTCTAGGAGCATTTTTTGGGCCCAGGGGTAAACTTCGGGGAGCATGGATATTTCAACTACAAATTCCGATTCATCGTTGAAAAATACAAGGGAATAACATGATCCAACATCTGGCATCCAAAACTCAATTTGCACGCTTCCTAGGCGTATTCCTTGGGCCCAGGGGTAAACTTTGGGGAGCATGGATATTTTCAACTACAAATTCCGATTCATCGTTGAAAAATACAAGGGAATAACAAGATCCAGCATCTGGCACCCAAAACTCAATTTGCACGCTTCCTAGGGGTATTCCCTGGGCCCAGGGGTAAACTTTGTGGAGCATGGATATTTTCAACTACAAATTCCGATTCATCCTTGAAAAATACAAGGGAATAACATGATCCAGCATTTGGCATCCAAAACTCAATTTACACACTTTCTAGGAGCATTTTTTGGGCCCAGGGGTAAACTTCGGGGAGCATGGATATTTTCAACTACAAATTCCGATTCATCGTTGAAAAATACAAGGGAATAACATGATCCAACATCTGGAGTCCAAAACTCAATTTGCACGCTTCCTAGGGGTATTCTTTGGGCCCAGGGGTAAACTTTGGAGAGCATGGATATTTTCAACTACAAATTCCGATTCATCCTTGAAAAATACAAGGGAATAACATGATCCAACATCTAGAATCCAAAACTCAATTTGCACGCTTCCTAGGGGTATTCTTTGGGCCCAGGGGTAAACTTTGGGGAGCATGGATATTTTCAACTACAAATTCCGATTCATCGTTGAAAATTACAAGGGAATAACATGATCCAACATCTGGAGTCCAAAACTCAATTTGCACGCTTCCTAGGGGTATTCTTTGGGCCCAGGGGTAAACTTTGGAGAGCATGGATATTTTCAACTACAAATTCCGATTCATCCTTGAAAAATACAAGGGAATAACATGATCCAGCATTTGGCATCCAAAACTCAATTTACACACTTTCTAGGAGCATTTTTTGGGCCCAGGGGTAAACTTCGGGGAGCATGGATATTTTCAACTACAAATTCCGATTCATCGTTGAAAAATACAAGGGAATAACATGATCCAACATCTGAAATCCAAAACTCAATTTGCACGCTTCCTAGGGGTATTCTTTGGGCCCAGGGGTAAACTTTAGGTAGCATGGATATTTTCAACTACAAATTCCGACTCACCTTTGAAAAATACAAGAGATTAACATGATCCAGCATCTAGCATCCAAAACTCAATTTGCACACTTTCTAGGAGCATTCTTTGGGCCCAGGGGTAAACTTTGGGGAGCATGGATATTTTCAACTACAAATTCCGATTCATCTCTGAAAAATACAAGGGAATAACATGATCCAGCATCTGGCATCCAAAACTCAATTTGCACACTTTCTAGGAGCATTTTCTGGGCTCAGGGGTAAACTTTGGGGAGCATGGATATTTTCAACTACAAATTCCGATTCATCGTTGAAAAATACAAGGGAATAACATGATCCAACATCTGGAATCCAAAACTCAATTTGCACGCTTCCTAGGGGTATCCTTTGGGCCCAGGGGTAAACTTTGGGGAGCATGGATATTTTCAACTACAAATTCCGATTCATCGTTGAAAAATACAAGGGAATAACATGATCCAACATCTAGAATCCAAAACTCAATTTGCACGCTTCCTAGGGGTATTCTTTGGGCCCAGGGGTAAACTTTGGGGAGCATGGATATTTTCAACTACAAATTCCGATTCATCGTTGAAAATTACAAGGGAATAACATGATCCAACATCTGGAGTCCAAAACTCAATTTGCACGCTTCCTAGGGGTATTCTTTGGGCCCAGGGGTAAACTTTGGAGAGCATGGATATTTTCAACTACAAATTCCGATTCATCCTTGAAAAATACAAGGGAATAACATGATCCAACATCTGTAATCCAAAACTCAATTTGCGCGCTTCCTAGGGATATTCTTTGGGCCCAGGGGTAAACTTTGGGGAGCATGGATATTTTCAACTACAAATTCCGATTCATGGTTGAAAAATACAAGGGAATAACATGATCCAGCATCTAGCATCCAAAACTCAATTTGCACGCTTTCTAGGGGTATTCTTTGGGCCCAGGGGTAAACTTCGGGGAGCATGGATATTTTCAACTACAAATTCCGATTCATCGTTGAAAAATACAAGGGAATAACATGATCCAACATCTGGAATCCATAACTCAATTTGCACGCTTCCTAGGGGTAGATTTGGGCCCAGGGGTGGATTTTAGTGGTGTATGGGTTTTTCAAACTACAATTTTAGTAAATTCTAGACATCTAACAAGACTTCTGATTCCGAATTATCACATAAGAATATCATGGAGCGTCCCACCTTTATTTTTTTGTGAGGTGTTATTTTTGACTACTCCTAACGATAAACAATAGTTATCAGAGAGAGCAGAAGCTTTTCTATTTTGATTATCGCTTTCTTCCACAAATGAGGTTCCTGCCTTGCTGCAATAAGTATTTGCGTCGACAAAACAGTTGGCATCAATGACCTTTCCTCAATAAAATCTCGGTTCGGAAGAACCTTGATGCGAAAATGTAACCAAAACCCATCGTGAAGCACCATGAGCAGCAAAAAGCCTAAAGAACAACGTACCAGACACACCAGTCTCGAGATGCCTGACGTGGAAGCGGTCACCAAGAAGAAGCATAGCGACATGCTTCAACGCGCTAGGCACAAACTGCTCAACTTGAGCGACGCTTTGAAACATCGAAATCTTGAAGTCTCCGAAGCTCATAAGAAAGGAATGGCAAAATCCATGACTCAAGTGACGTTAGACTATTTCTTCAAGCACGGCGGACAGAGCAAGAACCATATCTACGCTAATACTTCGAGAGTGGACGAGCCGAAGAAGAAGCAAGGTTAGAAGGGTTCATTGTTGGGATGAGAAAGATAGTTTGTACGGATATCGGATAAAGTACTGTCTGAAAAAGTATCTACGTTCATACGAACTAAGATGTTAGGTTGCTATTTGTTTAAACGTGCTTAAACTGGATCCAAGCTGGGTTGAATTTAACTGCTCTAGCTGTACATAGAATAGGAGTATTCCTTATTCCTAAAGATCAGCTTTTCTCTTAAGTACATAGTTTTGGACATAAGTACTAGCTTATGAATTTTTTATTTGCATCTAGTTTAATTTTAAAATATATTACAACGCTTGCAACTATTTATTACAAATTTATGACCATGACGCCTGGACTATCGCGTTCTGCGCTGTTACTGAGTCTGCTGTATCCTTTGTGTGTATTTATCTTCGAATCGACGAATCCAGAGTGGTCCCGCATTTTCCTCGCCGAACTTGAGCCTTCATATCAGCCTGCTAGATAGCGGACGAATCCTATCGCTGCGGTGTATTTCTGGTTGCCTAAGTCGATGTACGAGGGCGTGTCAATATATAAAAATCTGTCATTAGAATTTAAGTTAGTCATATTTTTACATCTAGTACCAATGAATTGACCCTCTAGTCAAGTTGAAAATGCATGTAAACATTATTCATTTCCCCACGTTTCGTCTTTCAACTAATGTCTGGCAGCTCTGTTATATAGATTTTTCTTTCGTTCCGTAACACAGTGTACCTTAGAAATGAAGTTACAGTCCATTAACAACTTAATGCCGCGTGAAATGTTCAAAGACAAGTAGATAAAACAATTCGTCAAGACTTGAAGCTTGAAAAGTGATTTATTTTGAGAGCAGTAGCCAAAGTCTTAACATTTCATCGGAACTGATGTTTATAAAGTACGCAAATATACTTTGAAGGTGCTACTCCTGATTTTGCTGTCCGGTAGTCAAATGTACATAATACAGACACCTTAGATTGTAAGCAGTTCATAAACAAGTCCGATATACAATTTCGAAATGGGAAATCTAAGTATAGAAATATATGACCTTGATATTGAACTTTTCCTATTGCAACATACTCAATAATGGCATCGTATCTCTTACGCTAAGAGCTGGCGGATAATCAGCATGAGATGCAAAAAGGTATTATCACTGTTCAAATAAAGAAAAAAACGGTAAAGAATAATAGTATAAATAAAGTAACGGTGACCTTGGCGACGAATTTCAAGGTCGACCGTATTTTTCTGACCTATGTGAAACATTTTATGTTCTGAGATGACCAGACCAGAAGGTCATTTAGAGGTAGACATGGTTTTTTATGCTTTCTATCTATATACGAATTAAAAAAACGATTCTTCATTATAGGATTTGGAAGTTGACTTTAAAGGCAACGTTCATAGTGATATATTTTATACCGCTTCCGTCAGTAAAGTCTGAAGTATACCGTCCCATTTAATGTTTTCAAATTGACCTCTAAATGACCAATGTCACTAGATTTGTCTCTGGACCCTACAATTTTTGACCACGCCCTGTGTAGATCATACATTGTAAAAAAAGAAACAGTATTGAACAAATAGCAAGCCTAAATGCGAGGTTCTCTCCCATCATGGCCAACCCTTTCGAACCAACCCGCAGGTCTCCACAAACAGCATTCCGTGGGTTCGTACCCGATCAAAATCGAAATCACCGACGAGGACGACCTCCCGGTGGACGCCGTCTCCGAAGGGGCGCACGCCCCCGCGTGCGAGGACATCCCCAGATGTGCAGAAGCCTTGGCTTTGGAGAAACCCAGGAAGAAACTGTCGTTTCGGGTACCTGAGATCATCGGAAAGGGAAGGTGTCACCAAAAAGTGAACGGCGGGTGTGAACTTAGTGAATTGAGGTTGAGAGACGCTAGTGATCCGTGCGCGTTGAGGAGGGCCAGTAGCTTTGAGGATTATGATTTGGAGGTAGGATGTGTGAGGATGTGTTGACATTCATTAGTTGTTTTCGATGTTCAAGCTTTAAATCACACTGATCAGAGAAATACACACAGTTGCCCCGAGGCAGAGTAACAATACACACGCCAACTTTTCTAAATTTAAAGTAGATCATAAATTGTCAAACGTACTTGGTCCCAAAATCTTTATCATCCTTCCAAAAGGTAGGAATAGCAAATCAAAATCACTTTAGGTATTGTTTTTTAATACATAAATGTTTGTATAATGACTTTAAGTTTATCAGAGTGTAAATGTTGTTTATTATCTTGTTGTATTTATCATTTTGCTATGTCTCTGTTTAAAGCTGAACTATTGCCGATTTCAAACAATGTCCGAAGAAAAAACTACTATTAAAATTTATCATTTATCAACATCATTGTCATCATCAACGTCATCGTCATCATCATCAACATCGTTATCACCATCAACAACATCATCATCACTGTCATCATCAAGTCTGATTCTAGGTTTTAGATGCTACTACTTCAAGGTTCCCACCGCTGTTTCTTTGCTAAGCGAAATCTGGCAACATCGTTTTTCCAAATAAAAAATGTATAGTGCCTGAAAAAAAATGTGCGAACCTTATTCTTCAAAACGCAACATGGTCGACGATCTAGAACGTCACGAATTTCACCACAAAAGATTTATAACAAATTACTTACCACAAACTTCAAGTTTGACGATCGGTCATAGCGAAGATGGTGTAAACAAAGTTTTGTTCTCATGGTCAGCTAATTATTATATATTATATTTTACATACTTGGTCCTAAAATCTTTAACATCCTTTTAAAAGTTAGGAATAGTAAATCAAAATCACTTTACGTATTGTTTGAAAGGTTTTTTAGTACATAAATGTTTGTATAATGACTGTAAGTTTATCAGTGAGTAAATGTTGTTCATTATCTTGTTTTATTTATCATTTAATAATAATAATAATAATAAAATGTCTTTATTAGGCACATTATATACACTACCACATAATGTGACCTCTACGTAGGCGAAGTCTAGCTCTTGGCTACTCTACTTAACCTACCCAAATACTCAATTGAAACACTCAATCAAAAGAAACTTTGATAAGCAAAAGACGCTTCAAAACAACGAGCTTGATAGCTTCCTAGCATACATATATACACACATATATTACGTAAACTAAAATTAAATGTAAGAATTAAAAACTAACTTTTCCAAAATTACTATAATGACAAATAAATCTGTTTCACATGCTTACGAAATCTGTTTACTGGCCAATCCTTTATATTGTCATCTAATTCGTTATAAATCAGGATAGCATTGTAAGTGTATGAACTACGAAATAAAGTTGTTTTATACATAGGGATCTCTAGTCTTTTTTTGTGTCTGAAATCAATGTCTGAATTATTTCGTCTGAAAACAAATTTCTCATAAAGATACAAGGGGGATCTAGAAGATATGATCTTATGTGTAAACACTGCTAGATGGTACTTGCAAGCATTTTCTATACACATCCAACCAAGCTGAAATCTCTTTAAGGAAACATGATCATACTTCTTGAGATTAAATACAAATCGACAACAAGTATTTTGGAGTTTTTGGAGTCTTGCTTTTGTGATAGAATCAAGACAATGATAGAACACAGTGCTACAGTAAAATAAGCTTGGAAATATAATAGCCTCACATAACTTTTTTCTAACTTTAAAATTCAAAATAGAGCGATTGACATAAAAACACTTCAACGTTGCATAACATTTTTTCAAGATAGACGAGACATGCTCCTTAAACCGTAAAGTATAATCAATAATCAACCCTAAATTTTTTGTAGTATTTACGACAGCTAGACGCTCCTTGTCGATTTTTACATCAAGAGAATTCAATACAGTGTTACGTTTGACAGCAGGACAAAAAAGCATCACTGAGCACTTATCCTTATTGAGCTTAAGATTATTACCATTTGAGTATCCTACTATTGCCTCCAAATCATCATTAAGCTCATTGATTGAAGTATGCAAAGTGTTACTATTAAAGCTTTTATATATCTGTGTATCATCGGCATAGCACATCACAGAAGAGTTTTTCACAGAGCTACCCAAGTCTATAGTATAAATTAAGTACAACAAGGGCCCTAAAACTGAACCCTGAGGGACACCTGATGTTATATCAATCGGACTAGATATAGTGTTGTCTATCTCTACTACTTGTTTACGATTTGAAAGATATGTTATAAAAAACATTAGAGGTATGTCTGAAAAACCAAAAAACTTCAATTTAGCACATAAAAGCTCATGATCTATTTTATCGAACGCCTTAGAATAATCTAATGATACAAGTGCTGAAGCATCTCCCTTATCAAGCGAAGCAATGATGTCATCTAAAACCCTTGCTAAAGCTGAAGTTGTACTAAAACCACTGCGGAAACCAGATTGACACTTGGGAAAGAAATCATTATTAGAGAAATAATGATAAACCTGATGTTTAATCAATTTCTCCAATATCTTCGATATAACAGGAATCAAAGTTATAGGTCTTAAGTCTGAGAGACATTTTGGATTTTTACATTTAGGCAAGGGTTTGACAAGAGATAGTTTCCAAGCATCAGGGAAATACCCAGCCTCCAGGCAACAGTTCAATAAATGCGTCAGGGGTAGTAATACTCGAGGCAAGCAAAGCTTCAGCATTGAGACTGTTATACCATCTGAACCTGCTGCATTAGATTTTAGGGACAGAATAATGTCTAGCACATTTTGTGGGGTAGCAAAACTAAATTCAAATCTAGCACTTTCATTAATTTTGGTACTATTAAATTTATCAACTAGATCCTTGCAATTGCCCGAAGGCGTGAAAACGGAAGAAAAATAATTGTTTACTTCATCGGCATTCTTCAACTGTGTAGGTAAAGATCTATCTACATTAGTTTTGAGTTTCAATGAATGTACAGCTTTCCAGAGATGCTTGTTACTATTTAGTTGTTCATTGAAGCTTAGATATGCTGCTTTCTCCCGCCTAATAGCGGAAATGACATCATTTCTTAATTTCTGGTAATATTCGAGACTAGCTGGACTTTTTAAAATCTGATATTTTCTAAAGGCTTTATTTCTCTCGGAGATCAAAAATTTTATGCCACCTGTGAGCCATGGAGCATAAGGTTTAGTAATACGTGATGAAATAACAGGAGCATGGACATCAAACAAATCCAAAATATGATTAGAAAAAAACGTAGCTTTATCCTCTAAGTTAGTGATGTAATATATATCGTCCCATGGGATTTTATCCAAATCCACCAAAAACTGATCTTTACAACAGTGTTTAAAATCTCTATATTTGACAGTCTTTTGAAAATTCTTAGGCCGTGTGATGTTGAAGTCACATCTGACTACATTATGATCTGACAAATTCGGAACAGGTACAGAGCTAGTTGAAATTAATGATTCAGCTAAGTTATTTGTTGTACAAATGACATCTATGGAGGTTGCCGTGGTTAAAGTTATCCTAGTTGGTTGGGTGATGTGAGATACCATATCGTAGCACGCAATGCAATCTAGAAAAGAATGGTCAGTAATTTGATCAACGTTTATATCACCCAGCAAGCATATATTATCATACTGAGGAGACACAAATGAGAGAAAGTTGTCTATATGATCAATAAAACTTGATAATCTGCTCGAAGGAGCTCTGTAGATAACACAAACCAAAATTTTTAGATTATTCAACACTATTTCAGCACAAACCTGCTCCATACCATCTGGACATAAAAAATCTTGCAATACCAGCTTACCTCTCAGTGAATCCCTTAAATAAACACCAACTCCTCCTCCACGTCCTACTCGATCAGTATGGAAAAAAGTGTACTCAGGAATATTTACTATATTTGCTGTAAAATCATTATTAATCCATGCCTCTGTTTAAAGCTGCTTTATTGACGATTTCAAACTATGTTCGAAGAAAAAAAACTACTATTAAAATTTATCATTTATCAACATCATTGTCATCATCAACGTCATCGTCATCATCATCAACATCGTTATCATCATCAACAACATCATCATCACTGTCATCATCAAGTCTGATTCTAGGCTTTATATGCTACTACTTCAAGGTTCCCACCGCTGTTTCTTTGCTAAGCGAAATCTGGCAACATCATTTTTCCAAATAAAAAATTTATTGTGCCTGAAAAAATGTGCGAACTTTATTTTTCAAAACGCAACATGGTCGACAATCTAGAACGTCACGAATTTCACCACAAAAAATTTATAACAAATTACTTACCACAAACTTCAAGTTTGATGGTCTGTCATAGCAAAGATGGTGTAAACAAAGTTTTGTTCTCATGGTCAACTAATTATTATATATTATATTTTACATACTTGTTCCTAAAATCTTTAACATCCTTCTAAAAGTTAGGAATAGTAAATCAAAATCACTTTACGTATTGTTTGAAAGGTTTTTTAGTACATAAATGTTTGTATAATGACTGTAAGTTTATCAGTGAGTAAATGTTGTTCATTATCTTGTTTTATTTATCATTTTGTTATGCCTCTGTTTAAAGCTGCTTTATTGACGATTTCAAACTATGTTCGAAGAAAAAAAACTACTATTAAAATTTATCATTTATCAACATCATTGTCATCATCATCGTCATCGTCATCATCATCAACATCGTTATCATCATCAACAACATCATCATCACTGTCATCATCAAGTCTGATTCTAGGCTTTATATGCTACTACTTCAAGGTTCCCACCGCTGTTTCTTTGCTAAGCGAAATCTGGCAACATCATTTTTCCAAATAAAAAATTTATTGTGCCTGAAAAAATGTGCGAACTTTATTTTTCAAAACGCAACATGGTCGACAATCTAGAACGTCACGAATTTCACCACAAAAAATTTATAACAAATTATTACCACAAACTTCAAGTTTGATGGTCTGTCATAGCAAAGATGGTGTAAACAAAGTTTTGTTCTCATGGTCAACTAATTATTATATATTATATTTTAC